CAGCAGGATTATACTTGAGGGAAATCAGTGTAGTGGTTAATTAGAATCAGATCCAGATTGCCAGTGGAGTCAGTAGAGTGCCTCATGCTGCAGAGGATCTTTTTACAGAAGCTATTACATTGACTTTATTAGGTGGAATTGGTTCAGTAAGGCTTATTTATAAGGGTTGTTAGATCAGATGTGTTGCAAATTACTTCTGAACCTAGTTCATCTGAAATCCACATGAGAGATGCTCCAGATCTCACAACAATTTCCCACCAACCCAGAAACAGATAATTATCTGAAAAAGCTACCCTCAACTTTGCTGTACATCAGCACCTTGATTGCATATTTTTGAATGAATGGTTTACATCAGCTCTTTCCAATGCACAGTTTTCTCTCAGTAAGGTCACTGGTACTGATAAATAAGAGCAGAAAACAAATTCAAATAAACCCAGTAAGTGAAGCCTGTTAGTCACTTTTTCATTATATAATACATTCTTAAGAGGACATAACTAAAAATTCAGTGCAGTATGATGCTTTGGTTACTTAGGGTTTTCTAACAATATCTTTAGGAGTCTCTCTTATTGTCCTCTTCTCATACGTAATATTTATTGGAAATAAATATCAGAGGCACAGAAAACAAGTAGTGTGCTGTACTTATGAGAAAGACTGATAGAACAGGCAGTTGCCTGCATTCTGTGCCTGTTTCTAGTCTGTACCTACTTGTAAAATCCAGCTGCGCTTTTTTTCAAATCAAAGAGTGTTACTAGCCAGCATTTTAGGAAAAAAAATACATTTTGAAAGCCTGAACATTTCTCAGAGTATCTCTTGACAGAAATCTGGCAGTACCTCACTGCTGACCTCAGTCCTTTTGCCCTAGGGACTTTGCTGTTTTCTAACTCTATGACTAACAGGTTCAAGTATATTCACAGAAATTAGATAGGTGTGTTTATAACTACATGAATGTCACTGCCCGACCTACCTATCCAAGTTTTACTCCCTGTATTTTTACTGGAAGTATTTTTTTTTACAGAAAGTGTTCTCCATCTATCTTCTCTGCATCCATACTGACTACGGAGTATCCAGAAGCATATAAAGTCCAAGTTACAATGGCTATAGCAGTCTTGTGGTCCATATTCTGATAGTGAAAAAATCTAGCTTCATTATTACATAGCATCCAGTACCTTCTGACAGTTTCAACTTCTTTAATTCTGTTTGAAAAATTTAAAGACATACTAGTCCTAACATACATTGTTTTACAAAATAGGCAAGAGAAATGAGCAAAAGCTCAGGCTGCCGTAGTACCTAACAGCACACCTCATAGCACTAAATAGCAGACAGTTAGCAGGATAATAAAAAAAAATTCTGATTTGTTTTGCATTAATTAATCAGCATAGCTGCTGAAGACTAAACTGCAAATCCAATCCTCCAATTAATAGATTCTGCTGGTTGTGCCCAGCAGTAAGGGAATGGATTGAGATTTCTCTTTGCAGATTCTCTGTTCAAACCACTATCCCCTTCTGTCTCCATTCTAGTGACAGCTAAGATAAAGTTAACCATTACCAACTTAATCATTCACAGTAAAGCAAGGCATTCGCTGGTGCGATATCCCTTAGGAAATGCCTTTTCCATTAGATTTCAGGTGTTACTCTGTTCAAAAAGCTGAGCAAAAATTGGAAGTGTCCTCACTGCAAATTAGTGCAACTTATGATTATGTTTGTATGAGAAGAAAAAAAAATTTCTTCAGAGCTATAGTATAAACTCATTTTTATTATATTTTCATTCTAGTCAGCGGTGCTTTGGGGAGATCAGACAAGCATTTATGATAATTAGTTTGAAAACAGGAGAAATTCCGTAACTTGTTACTATATATTATCTGAACTCTGTGGATGCATTTGTAGTATTAAATTAAATATTTCAAAGACCGTTTCTGGCATAGAGGCCAACTGGCAATACAGAGCCCATGTCTATGCTATTAAGCAATATTACATTCAAAACAGTATGTTAACAAGCAAACTGTCTACTAAGAATGAATCACAGCCCAAGGCAGCTGCGAAAATATGCCTAGGAATTACTCTGGAGTGCTAATTGGCCATGACAAAAACCAAGTTAAGGGCTCTTCTAACACTTCTGGAAGTGCTTAATCTTCTTTTACAGACATAATTTCTACTCCTAAATTCAAAATGTTTGTGTTTGGCTTTTTTTATGAGCAGCAAATACTTATATAACTTACCATCAGAGTCTGATACTGCTGTCTCAGATGTTTGAGATACCATGGAGACATCTTCTGGTCTTTCTGCCAAATTATCTCCTTGCAATCTAAATTGTGGAAAAATTGAACAAAAGCATTTGCAATCATATTCCATAGGTAAGACACAGAAGAATGTTATCTCTGACTACATACCCTGGTTACAACACTGTCTTAAGGGTTAAAAGGGTAACTTTGCTGAAAAGCCAACATCCATGCTTCAATCATATCATCCCAGATATTGTTGTCAAGTCAAGTCTGGTTTGCCCACGACAGTAACTGCTAAGGAATCTCCCTGTCTTTATCTTGACCCACAAGATTTTTCATCCTATGTTCTCCCCTCATTCTGCTGAGGGCAGAGAGCTGGTAGGGGGTTGGCCCTTAGCCAAGGTTAAGCAACCAGAGGGAAAATGATGCAAGAATACTTCCTCCTCCCTTGTTACTTTTAAAAAGAATACAGAAATTATGGCAGATTTCACCTTCAGGCTTTCCCACTGCATCAGCTGACTGCAGTGCCTTGACAGCAATTTCCAAAAACAGTCCTTGTATCTGTTCTTTTAAATGAGCATCCCAAGAGTCTCACCACCCTTCTTCAGGCTCTTACGCATCCTGAGTACAGATTCTGCTCTGAAGAAATGGTTTGTAGCTCTTAACACAATAAAACAGCCATTTGCATAAATGTTATCTTAACTTGAATTTATTCAGACATGAAAAGAATAACAAAAATGCAATTCAATTTTGTAAAGCCCAGGAATCATAGAAATGCACTGAAATAAAACCTTGGGGAAAGAAGTAACTTATCTCTTAAAAAACGTTCCTTTCACTCTGTATTCTCACTCTCTGCAGCTGCTTTACGCTAAACACTGAGTTAACCATTGAAACCAAGTAGAACCCCCATATCTGCCCTATCTGAATTTCACATTTTATGATTCTAAGAGTTACATGATGTAACTGAAGTCCTCCAATCACCTTATTTCCTTTTATTGCCCTTAGGATGGTTTAGTTATGATGGAAAGCTCAATGTAAATTCATAATGACTCTTACCTGAGGAGGCAGTTCCACAGAACACAAAACTCCCCACGGCAACAAAAGTGTAAAACTTAGAAGCTGTAAACCTAACTTTGAAAATTATTTCTATGAATCCTTTATAGCTCTATACCTGGTTTGTAATGCTTTAGTTACCAATCCTTTAAAAGTCTAGCTTGTCAAACAGGCGCTTCTAAAGATGACAGTTAAAAAGAAGCAGATAACCCTTCCATTGTCATGAACATATTAAAATAGAGAGAAAACAAATTGCAAATGAAATAATCACACAAAAATGGAAAATCTCAAAAATCATATAATTTTCCTTTGTATTAACATTGACCTGTCATCCTTCATTACATACATACACACACATGCTCACTGCAAGCACGTATTCAAGCTTACAAGGATATGCATAGAATCACAGTAACCAGAAGTAACATGCTCTTCTCTGCAGCCATGCTAATAGTTTATGTGTTTAATTAAAAGGAAAATTACCCCAACCTTGTCTCCTTATATCACAGCCATAAAAAAGTATCTCTTGAAGTAGTAGCTGCTTCTTTCATCCCATCAGAATTTTCAAGATTTTATAATATATTCTCATTCTGATCTAAAAACGCTAAAAAACGCTAAAAAAGCGTTTTCATCCCCAACTCTTTTTCTTGCAGTACACAGAAATGTAAATTTCAAGATACACTTGATTCTTTATTGCCAGATGTCATATAGAAATTCCTTTAGCAAAAAAGGTAAAATGATGATACAAACGTTGTGGCTATTCATACACTGCTTTGGAAAAGGTGATTACAAAAAGAGCAACGTATGTGAAAGTCACATCTGTGCTTGGAAAGCAATCTGAAAAGAGTCAAGCCTTTCCAAACTGGTGGCTAGTTTTGAAAATCTTGGCTGTCATTTTCAAAGTGTAATCTTAAAAAAAAGAGAGAAAAGTTAAAAATTACTGATTTATTAATACTTGTGGACTGTTTCAGTTATTAACTGAAACATTATTTCATCTATTAATTATTTTAATGGGATTCAAAACTTGGTACCTGACAGACAACATTTTTTTTCTATGTACGTTCCGTTTCTAGTGTGATCTCTTGCTTAGAGGCCACTGTTTTACTTACATTCAACCAGATGCACATGGGAGCTTCAAGAGCTGCAAAGGCAAACAGCCTCCAGGCAAATATTTTAATTTCCTTTGACTCAAAAAAGCATTCTGTAAGACTTCTTCCAAGAAAACTGCCAAGGATTTCAGGACCAAAGACATCCCAAATAAGCTCTACAGGATGGGCACAGCAGCAGTATATCAGGTCTATCATTACAAGCAAGCTTGTGGGTGCGCGAAACACACTCATATTGCCAGAATTATTTAGAAAATATGATACTTATAAGAGTAAGCAAAAGGAGGACAAAATTATTTCATCTACATTCCTTGAATGAGTTACAGCATAATAAAATCCTGTATTGCCTCATCAGAGGAAGGAAACAGCAAAGAGGAAAAACAGCGTCAAGATTTGAATTACAGATTTTTTTTTTTTTCATCCACTACTTTGAAAATGTCTTTTCCCACTCCTGAACAATCTATAAGCAAATACAGTATTATCTAAGAAATGGTAGTGACTAAAGTCAGCAAAAAGACAACACGTTGATTCCTTTAGGGTTCGGATTAGGAAAATATTTCTTCTTGACCTGATCTCTGAAAAAGCAAAGTTTTCTACGAATGTTTAAGATAAATCATCTTACCAAAGATTTTGTATTATTTCCATGTAAGCTGCCTGTATCTACTATGTTAATTATTCTACTAGTCATGCTGCAGTATTTGGAAGTAGGAGTAACCTATCTAAAAAGAACCCAATCTGTTTGAGTTTTTGTTTGGTTGGTTGGTTTTTTGGGGAGTGTTTGTTTGTTTTTCTTGTCTAAAAGTTCACCCATCTTAAATTGTCGCGAGAAAAACGAAAAATTACTTCACCATGCACAAAGGTGAGATGAAACAAATGTTGCAGCTCTGATTCAGTAACATTTATCTAAATTGATAACTCTTTGATTTAAAATCATGTCCATGTTAAGTGCATTGCTAAACTTGAGCATCTAGGATATTTTTCTTACTTAAAACATAGATTGTTGGAGAATGGGGCATGTCATCAAGATGAGGATATTACAAGTTTATATTTCTATAGAAGCCACCTATTTTACCAGATGAAAAAATACTAAGATTAAACTATTATTTGAATCCCAGCTGCTAAAGCAAAATGAAAACTAAGTTAAATCCATGATTTACATTATGTAACCTCTCACCAATGAAGGTGTGTGAAATCACCTACAAAATACCCCATTCTGACTAATATAATCTCTTTTTGAACATCTTCAATATTTCCCTGGCAATTTTCAGTGCCCAACAACACCTCAGAACACATTATTCTGTGGTATCACAATTACCAACAGACTTAATGAAACACTTGCAAATTCCTATGACAACAGAGGTGGAAAACAACTCACTGACTCATTGATTTCATCCTGCGGGAAGTACAAGAAGCAATACCCTAGAGAAGTATCAGATACTAGTCCCTACTCTAGTTCCATTTGTTGCAAAAAAAAAAAAAAAAAAAAAAAAAAGTGAAATAAAGCAGACCAATAGTCATAAACGTTTCAACTTATTTCCATCTTAAACACGACAGAATGTTCCAGAGGAATTTTGCAGGGATTAAATACGCAGCATGTAAGTATCTGTAACATAACTTAGTGACAGGGGCACTGTACACCATGCAGGTGGGCTAAGGATTCAGTGCAGATCTGCATTTCCTGCCTGGTAGATGAAGTCTGAGTGAGTGGCTGTTTGGTGGAGTCCAGCTGGAAGGGACTGATCAAGTGCCTGAAAGTCTCAAGCTTCTCTTGTGCCTGACCTTTCAGAAAGACTCATTCGAGCACTCAAAGAAAGACTTTTGAGCTATTCTGATAGCACAATTTAATGAGGAAATGCCTCATGGATTAACCTTATTTCCCTTCATAGCAACCTCCTCATCCTCCCACCCTGTTTTCACAGGCACAATAACATCCCTGTGGCAATCAGATCATTACTATCAAGCAAAAATGCTGCGTACATCTTGATCTTTCTTCTAGCATTACTAAGCAGCTGGAAATAAATTGGCACAGTAGGAGCAGTCACTCTGCAAGACCAACTTTGCTTTGAGCTTGAACAGTCATCCAGCATACCATTTGTTTCCAGATTGTACTGTCTGCTTGAATCAGATTACAGAGTCAGATTCTTTCCATGCATTTGCATAAAACAAGAGTATTCTGTTAGTACTAGAGAAGGAATGAATAAGTAGTATGAATGAATAGATGGTTTTTTAAAGTCAACAGTAAGATTTCCGTAGCAGCAACATATTCCCTCATTTAGTGACTTTGAAAAACTCAGTGCCTACCTTTTATTTTCTGAAATTTACTAGTAAATCCTTTTGATACGATAACTTAATTATGCCAAATTGTGCAAATTTAATTATACTACCAAATGATGCCAAAATATTACAGGTGGAGCTATCTGCATAATTTTAGCTAATTACACATATATAGAAATAGACACAAGAAGGGACCCTTGCATAAGGAAGGTCTGTTCCCTGCAATATGCAAGTCTTTGAGATGCATCGACTTTTTCTAACACAGTTCACTAGGACATATTTCTTCATGATCTTTTCTTCTAATCAAGCAGACTGTGGTGAAACTTGTCACTACTATCTGAAAGTTAGTCTTTCCCGAAACTTGACATATTTGACAACAAAATAAGTGTTGATGGCATCCTAAGTCCAGATGAGTTTACTCCTTTATTGTAATCAGCTCCACAGCATGTCATTACACTTTCCCATTCTTTTGTGTGAATTAATGGTCTTGTTTTCAGACTTCTCTGATACCCATCAATATCCAATGTACATGAGCTATTAAAAGGACAGCTTCTTGTCATTATGACAATTGCTGCATTAGAAAGATGTTAGACTGATGACCTCCCTTAGAAGCTGAAAAGAGAGTGACAAGATGATCCTACAAAACAACTCCT